CCATGAGAGGCGCGACAATATTCCGAGAGATCAACAGGGCAGGTGTTAGCCGGCTCCACTAGAGCAATTGAACTTGAAAGACGGTTTCGAGAAGGTTCGAAGAGGACACCCAGAGGAGGCTGAGGCGCCGCTCGAGCAGTTGCACCAGAACCGGCGCGAGAGGCGCATTGCCCTCGGTGACGAAGGTGTGCGACACGCCCATCCTGAACGCCCAACCGCACATAAGGTTGGGGCTAAGGGGTTGGGGGCCGCGTCTCTCGCCCGCACGCCCTACCCGCCCTGCCCGCACTGTCCACCGCGGTGCAAGTACGCGTCGATGGACAGCCCGCCCTGTGCGGGGGCGAGGCGCGAGATCCGGGGAGATGGGGGGAGATATGGGGGAGAGATAGTGCCGACCTGCGTGGGGGCGAGGCGCGGGCGGTGTGGCACGAGTCTCGGAGGCGTGTGTCGCTCCATATCCCCCCATATCTCCCCCATATCTCCCCGTATCTCGGAGGCGTCGTGTCGCTCCAGGCGGACCGAGACGTTGAATGACGCACGCCACGACGGACTCTCGAGGTACTCTCGAGGGACTCTCGGGGTACTTTCGAGGGACTCTCGGGCACTCTCGGGTTCTCTCGGGGTCCTCTCGGGTCCTCTCGGGTCCTCTCGGGTCCTCTCGGGCACTCTCGGCTCCTCTCGAGGCAGTCTCGAGGCAGTCTCGAGGCAGTCTCGGGTACTCCCGGACCGAGAGGTTGACGACGTGCGCCACCGAAGGGACGTCGAGTCCGCGTGCGGCGACCTACACACGGAGGGATGGGGAGATGTGGGGGAGATGTGGGGAGAGATAGGTCGAGCCACCGGGCGGCGACGTCGGTGGCGACGAGGACCTCCGCCTCGCCGCGCCGGAAGGAGGCGAGGGCGGCGCCGCGAGCCCGCTGCGAGAGGTCTCCTATTAATTAACTAATTAACTACCAATGAACTATTAATTATTAATTAGCCGCGAGCCCGCTGCGAGAGGTCTCCTATTAATTAACTAATTAACTACCAATGAACTATTAATTATTAATTAGCCGCGAGCCCGCTGCGAGAGGTCTCCTGTAGAGCAAGGTGGCACCCGAGGAGCCGAGAGAGTAGCCGAGAGAGGAGCCGAGAGAGGAGCCGAGAGAGGAGCCGAGAGAGGAGCCGAGAGAGTAGCCAAGCGTGGCCGAGCGTGGCCGAGCCCTCTCTGCGAGAGGTCTCCTGTGCCGCGGGGCCGTGTCACGTGGCATGGACGTGTCATGGACGCGGCACGGACGTGTCATGGACGTGGCATGGACGTGGCATGGACGTGTCACGGGCGGCGGGAGAAGGGCGGCCTCGCCGAGAGGAGGGCGCCGTGCACCTCTGCGCTATCTTGGCGCATCTCGGCACTGCATCTCGGCGCCATCTCGGCTAATCTGAGAGGCGCCGTGCAGCGCGGCGCAGCGGAAGCCACGAGCGCCCATCAGCCGTGCCACGTCCTTGGCCTCCTTCTTGTAGACGCAGAAGACGATCACCCGCGGGCCAGGGGTGCCCCCCCCCTCCCCCCC